CGGTGCCTGGTGGACTAATGCGTCCTTGTCGGGTCGCTCCGAGGGCGTGCACTGGCTGGTGTCAAGCTCACGTCGTCGAGACAACGAGATTTCGGCTTGCTGCGCTGCCGCACGCTCGAGTAGCGTGTGAATCTCATGATGGGCCCAACGATCCTCAGGTGTCACGGGCCCCAGAAGCCCCTAGAGCAAGGCCACCGCAATGGCGATGTTCTGGCTCACCCGGGTGAAGTGCGGGAGTGCTTCATCGTCATCGATGATCCTCCAGTTCACATCGCGGCCATGGCGTGTGCACGCCCACCGTCTCCATGGCGCTTGATCTCTCGATCGAGCTCTACGCGTTCCTGCTCGATATGGAGTCGTGCTTCCTCGAGCTCTTGGTGTCGGGCCTTCAGCTGCTCCACCGGCAGGTGAGGCGGGGCCCCTGCATCCCCCCTAACCTCATCGTTGAGGTCATTCGTTGGGGTAGCTTCTTCCTCATGGATGATTTTGACGTGCCCCTCAGGGGTACCCGCCATGAAGCACTCACGAGAGGGGTGATGGCTCCCCCTGCTGGAGCTAGAGCTGGAGGGCGACTCTAATTCTCCCACGAGGAGGTCGTGGAAAGACTCTGCGACATATTCGGTCATCCCTACGAACTCGTCGTTCATGGGGGATGGAGGCGTGCGCTGCGCCATAGTGTGGCCATCGGTCTCTGCGGCGTTGTGGAGACCAAACGGGAGCGCTGCCGGGGTGCTTCAGATGAGGTATTCTGGAGAGAGCGGGTCCCCTCTAGCAAGCTGCACCATGATGTTGACGAACGAGAAGGTGAGGTGGCACAGGTCCTCCCAAGACGGTCGGGGTCCCAGGAAGGCGCCGAGCTGGCGCTCTAACCTCCCATAGTCGAAGTCAAGGAGCTAGTCGCTTTTGGGGGCGTGGGCCTCCGGTGCGTGCAACTGCAGCTCCTCAAGTGCCTCAGCAATCGCGTTGAGGCCGGCAGAGTGGAGAGGTCTGATGGTGGTGGGAGCCATCGTCAACTCTCCCTCCGCTGTGACGATGAAGTCCAGGTCCCCGAAGTGCATGTGTGCGCTCGGGACCTAGATGAGGTTGTGACTAGCCATCCGAGACCTGGTGTGGATGTCGAGACGCGCAAAAGGCCCCTACCTAGCGCACCAACTATCGGTGTTTCAAGTTGCCACCAATAAGTAAATTTCTAATATTGCGGGTCTAGCTCAGATGGTGTGCTAAGAGGACATGAGGTTTATACTGGTTCGGGCAGAATGTCCCTATATCCAGTTCGTTGCTGCTGCTCGTGTTACTAACACTGAAAGTTCATAGTAGGGGTTACAAACGGTCGAGATAGGGACATGTCCCAAGTCTCTGGTGAGATTAATGAATGAGTGCCGAGAGCTCGGTCGCTTCCCGGCTGTGCGCTTGTGTGCTCTGATCGGTTCGGGGTTTGATGGGTTCAAGTCTGAATTGATGTGATGTGCTGCGATGCGTTCGAGTCCCCTTCAAGGGACGCCTTGCTTTCCCTTTTATAGGCCAAGGGAAAGCATGGGTTACAGTGGAGGGAAAAGAGGAGAATGAGAAGGGGAAGAAGTCCTCCAGGATCGTCGGGTCCTTCTCCTTCACGCCGGTCCCGCTGACCCTATAGACACCAACAGGGACAGCTCCATGTCGTGGCCCTATCCATCACTGGTGCCATGCGCAGGCGTCGTCTCCTAGTCATGGCACTCCACTCTGTCCTGGTGGACGTCGTGGTGAACTAACGCTCCTATCAGTCCTCGTACGAGGGTTAGGCAGAACAACACCGGTACGCCCGATGCTGTTCCTAATGTGAATCCCCAGGTATGGTCCATCATGGCCACGATTTATATTAGGGCGTGCCGGTCACCTCCCTAGTGTCAGAGCGTTGACCCAGGCCCAATCGCTTGGACCCTGAGTGGTTTGGCGGCGGCCTGGGTCTCCGTCGGGCGAGGCGGAGTCCCTCCCAGAGGCCGAGCGAGGCGGAGCCAGCCCTTAGAGGTCGAGCGAGGTAGAGCCCACGGCCTCGGTGTCGGGTGAGGCGGAGCCCGCCCTCAGAGATCAGGCGAGTCAGAGCCAGCCCTCAGAGGTCGAGCGAGGCAGAGCCCGCGGCCTCGGTGTCAGGCGAGGCAAAGCCCGTGGCCTCGGTGTCGGGCGAGGCGGGACCCACCCTCAGAGGTCGAGCGAGTCGGAACCAGCTCTTAGAGGTTAGGCGAGGTGGAGCCAGCTCTTAGAGGTCGGGCGAGGCGGAGCTAGCCCTCAGAGGTCGAGCGAGGCGGAGCCCGCGGCCTCGATGTCGGGTGAGGCGGAGCCCGCCCTCAGAGGTCAGGCGAGTCGGAGCGTAAACCCAAGGGTCGGGCGATGCGGAGCCCGCCCTTAGAGGCCGGGCGAGATGGAGCCAGCCCTTAGAGGTCGGATGAGGCGGAGCCCGCCCCCAGAGGCCGGACGAGGCGGAGCCCGCGGCCTCGGTGTCGGGCGAGGCGGAGCCTGCGCCCTCGGGGTCGGGCAAGGCGGTGCCTGTCTCCAGAGGCCGGGCGAGGCGGAGCTTGCGCACCTAGGGTCGGTTGGAGCTGTAGTTGCATTCTTGACTTCTCGGATGAATCAATGTTGATGGTTATTAGCTCCTCCTCTTCGGGTACCCTAGTATTGGTCCCCGACAATGCCCATCGTTCTCCCGCTCCCAAATCAACAGGCGTCCTCGACGTAAGCTAGGAAGCGAGCGTGCCAATAGATCCGCCTAAGCCCCACACCTGCTACCTATCGGCGTTGGGCGCTGCCCAAACCACCCGTGTTATGCTGGATAGCTTTATACTTGGAGTGACTATTCGAAAGGGACGAAGTATTGTACTCACAAATCAATATACTATAAACAATGATGTTCTTTAATCTTAATAGGAAGGAGATGACATAAAGTTGTTATTACTCCGTTTCAAATTAGGAGACATTTTAGTTTGTTTAATATATTGTTTTTACTATATACCTAAACATAGTGTATATCTCACTGCATAACAAAAGCTATATATCTAGAAATGCCATAACGTCTTATAATTTAGAATGGAGAGAGTACGAGATAATGTTGTAGCAAAATTAGTGACCATGTCACACGAGGTATTCAGCAAAAGAAAATAGTTAATAAAGTATTTAATTGTAAACTTGATTACTTGTATGAAAAATACCGGGAAAATGGTGAGAGTTTGTCAAAAAAAAGTTACCCTGGTAATAAATTCAAAGTTTACCAAATTGCATCTTACTTCCTCTCTCTTTTAAATGTCGCATATTTTTTAAAAATTAATTAGGTTTATAAAAAATATTAGTAACATTTGTATATCTATATTAGTTTATTATAAAAATAGGTTCAAACAATCTATCAAACGATACTAATTATGGATTATAAATATTAATATTTTTATATATCACAAATATTAATATCTATATAGTTAAAGATGAATATATTTGACTTTTTTTTACTTTTAAAAATGACGGAAGGAGGCAAGGAGTATGTAGCAATTTCGACGAGCCGGTGCCTCACACAAGGGATTTCTAATTATTTGCCACTCATACGATGTTTACCTCTCCGTTTGTTAATTTTACCGTGCCAACTATATTTTTACCCTAGAAAACAATAACTTAGCTATATTTTTATTATTTTTGCTAACGTCAGGACAGCGTGGAACTTTGACGCCACTCCTGTCTGCCCAGCCCAACGGAGCAAACAGATGCCCGTCAGCCCAGCCTCTCGTCCTCTCCGCTCGTCACTGCTTGTAGGGCCCGGCTGTCGGTACCTTCTTCCTCCTCCTTCGGCTTCCACCTTCTATCTATGGACGGCGATGCAGCAGCTCGGAGCTCTGCCCACTGGTCCGTCTCCACCGCCGGCGGCCAACGACGAAGACAACGAGGTGCGGGAGGAGGAGCCCGCTCTGGCCCCGGCGTCCGCGTCCAAGGTGTGGGAGCAGGAGCCCGTTCTGGCTCCGGCGTCCAGCCAAGAGTTGATCTCGGGTCCGCCGCCGTGGACGAGCACCGGGCGGAGGCCAACGCCGCGTCGCCATGCTTGGCCACCACCGTCTTTTTCATGAACCGCTGGATGAACGGGAGCACCTCCGACAGCACGTCCACGCGGCTCAGCGCCGCCGCAGCGGTGCTGCAGGACATGCGTCTCCTTGTCACACCCGCGCCTGCTGCCCTCCCGCGCACCTCCGTCTTGACCCCACTCGACGTCGCGCTCAAGCTCGCTGCGCATAGGGCCCTGGTGGCTGCGTCCTCAACCGTCTAGTTCGCCAGCCGAACGAGCTTCATGTACGCAGGCGCTCTTCGACGCAGCGTGCACGTGGTCGACTTGGACATTGGCTTCGACGGTCGGTGGCCGCCGCCAAGGCCAGCAACGGGGAACGGCCGGCTCTGCGTGGGGCCGTGGTGGCGCTGGAGCTCGACGCTGCGCCGGCCATGTGGCTCCGGCCGCGGCGGCTGTGCGGCGCTGCGCAGAGCTCGGCCTCGCCGACACGACTCGGGCGCGCTCGCTGCCGCGTGGCTCGGCCTCGCCCCCCGTCTACACACACGCGCGAAGCCGCGTGGCTGAGCCACGCACGGTGCTCTCGCTTGAGCCATGATGTCATGATGTTATCATATACTCTCTTTTCTTTTGAAAAAATATCAAATAAATACTTTGGAAAATACAAGTATACGTATTTTAACCGGCAACTATTCAAAGCCGTGCATGATTGATCTGTGGCCGAGATGAAAGGAAGAGGTAAGAGGCGCCGTTGGGGCTAGGAGACGGAGGCAGACGGTGGCGTTAAGTTTGACGCCGGTGTGACAAGCGGCGTGCCAGAGCAAAATTATTGTTGGCACGGTAAAGTTAGCGAACACATATCAGTAGCAAATAATTAGAAATCCCACACAAACCTACCCATACAAAAATCAAAGAAACGAAAACAAGCAGAAACCCCGCTCCGGCGCCCCCCGTCAATCATCCATCTCAAAACCCTACTCTGCCGGTGGAGATGCCGAAGCCAGCGGCGGCGGTACCGGAGACGGTGGGGCAGGCGGTGATCCCGCTGGTCAACAGTCTGCAGGACATCATCGCGCGGCTGGATGGCGACGCCGCTGCTGGCCTGGAGCTGCCGCAGGTGGCGGCGATCGGTGGGCAGAGCAGCGGCAAGTCCAGTGTGCTGGAGGCGCTCGTCGGCCGCGACTTCCTCCCTCGGGGCCCCGACATCTGCACGCGCCGTCCCCTCGTGCTCCAGCTCGTGCGCCACGCGTCCCCCGAGGAATGGGGGGAATTTCTCCATGCCCCCGGCCGCCAGTTCCACGACTTCGAACAGATCAAGCGCGAGATCCAGGTAAGTGCCGTGATGCTGTGGTTTCTTCAGCTTCGTTTTTTTTTGGCTGCATATAGGCTATGTGTTTGGTCCAATGCTTGAGACACTAGGGATCTACTCCTATTTAGCTGAAAGGGTATTTGTTTGGGTACAATTGCAACCATAAAACCATTCTGAATTTGTAGTTCATATAATGTGCTGATTTAGAGCAACTCTAGCAGATCCTCTTTTCTAAAAAAAAATGTAAGAGCATCTCCAAGAGCTCCTTAAAACAGCTCCCTTTTTTTTGCAAAAAGGAAAAAAAAAACAGCATTCCAACAATTTTGTATCTGAACTCCCTAAAGATAAGCAATTGGTAAATCCCCCCTCAACTCATATATATACACGTGTGTTCCACACTTGCTATCCGTCCGGGTGCCCCCTCCGCCATGGTTTCCTCCTTTCCTGCCCGGTTTTTCTTCTCGCCCGGTTTTCGAGTTTTAGTAAAGTTAATTACCAGAAACTATTGGAGGTAGGTAAACATAGAGCTCCCTGTTTATTTTGCTCACTCGGCAGAATCATTGACTTATCAAGTAATTTTTAAGGAGCTTTTTGAGACGCTGTGCGATAGCATATCGATACAGCCAATATTATTGGCAAAAGCTAACAGAAGGAAAATTTGGTTAAATCTTGGTGCTATGATGCTTTTTTTTTCAGTACTACCTCAATATGAAGATTTTTGTGAACTTTTAGCATAGTTATAGTCAAGGCTGTATAGTGGAAAAGATGATGACCATGTAAAAACTTGACACTTTGTTTTGATTTTTGCCTAGGATCACAACATGAGCCATTATAGCATACATTCGCATTACTGTGGATTGCTTAATTACTATATACACAGTTACATTTATTAGCCATTTTTCTACTAAAATGCTAAAGACTTGATGTTACTATCTGAGTTGGTCATAGTATATAATAATGAGAATTTTGCCAGGCTACCCTTTATGGAGTGTTCCCAACAGTCTCTCGTGCACTTGCTTACCTAGAACCTATCCTGTGCTGCTGATGTTTGGCAAGGGTGCACATTTTGTTTTTAGTACTTAAGAAATGTGCTTTGCCGTGTGCGACAGCCACATGCTCTTATTGATTGTGCATTTCATGAGGAATACTACATGATGCACTCAAAGTTAACAAAAAATTGCTCTCCAGTGCGATAATCTACTTGCTTAGTATCGATATTGTCCATTGCATTTTGAATCAGTTTTGAATGTACTTCGTTCCTTAGTTTTTTCTGAGTCGCTACAATAAAAAGTTAAATTCTTAACATTTTACTTCACTCCTCTTTTGTTTATCTACTCTTACAGTTATTGGACACTATTACTGAACTCCCATGCCACTCTTTCTTATTCTATTCTTACATTGGTACCATGTTTGAAAAAAAATTCTTTTATGCCTTCTTATGTTCTCATGTGATGAAAGAAATTGATTATTTCAGCTTGAAACGGACAAAGAAGCTGGAGATAATAAAGGGGTTTCTGAGAAACAAATTCGTCTGAAAATCTTTTCACCGAATGTCCTAGACATCACCTTGGTTGACCTCCCTGGAATAACACGGGTGCCAGTTGGAGACCAGCCCAGTGATATTGAGTCAAGAATAAGAGCAATGATCATGCAATACATTAAGCATCCAAGTTGTATTATCTTGGCTGTTTCTCCTGCAAATGCTGATTTAGCTAATTCTGATGCGCTCCAACTGGCAAGGCTTGCTGATCCTGATGGTACTTAATCAACTTAAATAATGCATTTGATTACTATTTCCTTTGTAGTGGACAGCTAGTTAAGTGTAAACCTTTAACTGCTTGCTGTTTTACTGGCAGGGTCTCGTACAATTGGTGTTATCACCAAGGTATTTATTTACTGTACACAACTAATGTTGTATAGTCCTTCGATCAGTGTATGGTCATTTTGATAACCTCATTTCAATGCCTTTAGTTAGATATCATGGACAGGGGCACTGATGCTCGTAACTTCTTGCTGGGAAATGTGATTCCACTCAAGTTTGGTTATGTAGGTGTTGTAAATCGCAGCCAAGAGGTATATTCTTTGCCGAACTACAGGCCTTGTAATATTTGATTGTCAGTTTGTGTTTTCTCTCAATAGTAGTTATTTCTATAGCCTTCCAATGCCAGCTTGATTGGGATAAAAAGCTTTGTTGTTATTAGTTCATTGCTTCTATGGCCTCACATAACGCTAGATTGATGTCTGCAATCACAACGAACAAAAATAGGAGATCATTATGTTGTATTAATGAGAAAAATGAAATTTCTGATATTACAAGTATTGATTCGCTTTTACATTTTGTTCTGTTTATTTTCTTGACCTTAGAAGCAGGGTTTTGGTACCTGATTAGCTGTTTTTCTGAAGTTTTACGTTCTTACTTTTAACTAGCTGATTGCAACAGGATATCAACTTCAACCGAAGCGTCCAAGATGCGCTTGCTTTTGAGGAAAAATTCTTCTCGACTCTACCTGTATGTCAGGAAATTAATTTTTATCTGTGCAACATTTTCTACTGTAGATCAAGCACACTTGCTTAAAAAATTTGTTCATCGTTTTGTGTTTAACAGGCTTACCATGGTCTGGCACATTGTTGTGGTGTTCCTCAATTGGCCAAAAAGCTAAATATGGTATATTACTATTAAATATCTGCTCATTGTACTTTGCCTCTGTATACCATGTTTCTTTCCACCCTCTGGATTTTATCTGTTAATTTCCTGCAGAAACATTAAAAACTTCAGGTTTCCTGGAAAAGTTGTTGCAATCTCTGATATGACGAAGAATGAATCAATCTCAACTAGTTCAGGATAATGACTCGAAGTTAAATTCTCATGCCTCATGCTTTAATTGAAATGAGCAATGCTATATGGCATAGTCAGGAACACAGTAAAATACAGTAAAAATCTTGAAGCTTAGATTATAATTAGCACAAAATGCTTAATGAATTTATTATGATGCTTGATATTTTTACTTCAAGAGTTTGGTACTGCAACTTGACCGACTGTGGTTATTCTGTATGTAGCCACCTTTGTATACACTTGTGAAGTTGTGATGTTTCTACAAATAATATTAGTATGTTTCTAATGATTTTATCTGTTCAACTGATTATGATTTATCATGGTCCTTTTTGTAGATTCTACTAAAGCACATCACAAATATGCTTCCATGCTTGAAAACTCGCATAAATGCTCAGTTGGTAGCAGTTGCGAAGGAACATGCTGCCTATGGTGATACTGTAGAATCAGCGGTAATTACATTGATAGATGCCTCCATACTTCAAAAACTGTAAGGCATGCATCATGATGGATTATCATGGAGCACTAGAGATACACTCTCTCCATTCCAAATTATAGTTCACTTTGGTTTTGTCCTATGTCAAACTTCTCTTAACATTGACCAAGTTTACACAAAAATGCACCAACATCTACAACATCAAATTAATTTCATCAAATTCTCCACGAGATATGGTTTTATTGTGCATTTATTTGCACTTGTAGATGTTAATATATTTCTTTATGACAACAAAAGGACATTAAAAGTGTAGTTGATAACATCAAGTTAGAATATTTTCTTGATGTGGTTTTATGATATTTTTTCAGCACATATGTGGAAACCTTCGAAATTTACTGTACTTACATTATTACCCTTTTAATCTTAGATTTTTTTTTTTTATCTTGGTGGATGCAGGCTGGTCAGGGAGTCCAACTGTTGAATATATTGAGAAAATATTGTGAAGGTGAAGAATAATTTGTTCTGCCTTAAAACCTTAATGACAACATTTTGTATTTCTATTATGATGGTTGCAATTTGTGCTCGCATTCATTATTTAAAGATTTTAAAATTGGTCTTACTTCTGGTTGCAACAACTAAAATCATATGTGTGTGTTTTTAAGAAAACAGGAATAGTTTACTTGTTCTTACTGTGTAACTCTTTAGATTGCATTACATTGAAATTTGATGCTTATCTTATAAGGCCGTTTCTCATGCAAGATGATGTCTTCTTTCTATCTTTCGGTTTAAATTCTCTCAAAGCTATATTATTCTAACATTTTATTGTTTTCCTACTTTCAGCTTTTTCTTCAATGGTGGAGGGGAAAAACAGGGTATCTACAGATGAACTTTCGGGTGGAGCAAGGATTCACTACATTTTTCAGTCAATATTTGTCAAGAGTCTGGAGGTTTGTGAAAGAAACAGCTTTAAATATTTAGCTAGCAGGCATGTGAATGTAAGGATGACTCACTAGTCACCAAGACCATGGGGATAAGAATTCTATAACGACGATTGAGAAATGGACATTGAAGTAGTATACTATTTTTTTGAATAACACAAAACCACCATGGATGGCGACGTTTATCCATTCTTATTTTGGTTAATAATGCATTATTTCCTTTTTAATGTTAATATAGATTAAGGGCTTTACAACTTTACATTACAGGCAATATAGTTCTAATGAGATGTCCCCCTCTTGATACCTGCCACAGCTATTGAGAAAGTTTCCTGCCGTAGGGTTAGACACTTAGACTTGAACCTTGGATTTTCTTTCTCGTGTCGCCCCACACGGGTGGAACTAGAAGCCAGCGCCGCGCCGTCTTCCTCCTCCGCTTTCCCTGGTTGTCGTCGGAGCGCGCCACCGGTGCGTGGGCTCACAAGGAAGGCGGCAACGGGGCCTTTTCTCCCCTCTTCCTTCTCGTGCTTATCAGCGCCGTCGAGCTCTTGTCCGCCATGGTGCTGTAAGAGCTGCTCCTTCTGGCGGCTGACCTCCGAGCTCTGGATCCCGGCTAACAATCCTCAGGCTATTCTTGCGCCGGTGAGACCTATGGCGGCTGCACGGCGGTGGAGCGACTGTGTCCCCCTCTCCCTCTCATGGCGCCATGCTCGGCTCTAGTTGGGGGGGGTGGCCTGATGCATCTCCGTGGGTGGCCGAATCGGTTGTCTCCTAGGCGGTGAAGGGTAGATCTACCGCGGGTAGGCGTCCCTTGCGTCGCCGGTTTCACCTATGAGCACGGCTAGGTGGTTCTAGCGACTCGGTCAGCTTCGGGTTGGCGGTAGTGTGAGGCTCGTGGCGGGCGTGCGGTAGCGAGGTGGTGTGTGTGTATGTGTGTGTTGGGGGGGGGGGGCTGCTGCTGCTCTTGGGGGCGGGCAAGGCCGGTGGGGGTGGGTGCTTGTCGGTGAGGCGAACGAGCACTAAGCCTGCGACCGTGGCATAGGAGGTGGCGAGCAGGCTTGCGTTGGTGGCGACGTCGGCGTGGTTTTTCTTTGGGCGGCCCTGATGGCTGACCACAACGACCCTGTTCTGGCCATGGCCTTTCATCTGCAATGGCTATAAGTTTAGCTTGCGAGTTGCGTGCGGTTGCGGACGATGGGCAACTTCACCTGGCTTCGGAGGAGCAGCTGCGTTGACCGCACGCAGTGTTTTGTGACCACGTGCCGTGGTGCTTGCAGGACCAGCTGGCAAGCAGTGGTGTGGCCGTTGTGTGCAGGTGTGAGGAGGGATGTGTTGGGCAAAAGCCTTGGCCGATGTTAGCCAGAGCCGACGGTGGCGACACCTCTGAGTATCGTTTCCTTCCTTGGAAGCATTGTTGAGGCGCCTCCCCTCTTCTTCTGAGGAAACTCCACCTAGGGTCCCTAGGTAGGTGAAGGCGGCGCTCAGCATCGTATCCTTCCTACAGACGCCGCCTAGAAGATCCTGCACTGCCTTGATGGATGCTCGTCCGCGTGGGACATTTAGTCTTACCTGTAAGCCTCGGGTTCACTACATGCTTGTGGCACAGCTATGGCTTTCCTAGGGTGGATCAGTGGCGAAGTTGGAGCTGCTTTCGTTGTGGGGGTGCAACAAAGCTTGGCAACGATGACACGCTGTGTTCACTTTCTTTGGAGCCTGGGGCTTGTTGTGAGTAATGAGTAGGTGGCAGCGTGTTAGGGCTTTGGCTGATGTTTGTTGTGGGAAGTCGGAGCTTCTTATCGCTATAACTTGTGACGATGACGTGTGGTGGGCTCTGTCGGTTGTGTATTGTCTTTGTGTGTATGTGGGTTGCTTAGGGTTAGTTGTCTGGCTTGTTGTGTTTAGGTTTTTCGCCTATTTTCCTTTACTAAACCGCGACTGATGTTCTTAGGCCTGGTTTTCCTAATAAATTGGGTCAATTCTATTTCTTCTTAACTGAAAGGCAGAGCTCCTGCCATTGCGTTTAAAAAAAAGTTTCCTGCTGTCCTAGTACTGGACATATCTCAGTAAAGTTATGCTTCAGGCAAACAGCATTTAAGCTTTGGTCATAGTATCTTTTGGCTGCTAAGTCTGACTTTATGCCTCTTGCTTCCCTTATTAACATGCTCCGGTACAAAAAAAAAAAAAAATTGTGTGCAGTGCATTGTGTGATCGAAGAATATTTTCCTGCCACGAAAGTTCTCAGTCTATTTCTAGGTTCCCAATATCATACATTCATACTTTTGTGCTGTCAAGTTATTTGATGTACCTTACTAGCACAACAAACTACTTTAACCTTTATTTGGTACCAGGATGTGTTGGAAAAATGATCTTTGTTTCCTGTCGTTCTGAATTAATTGGTTCTGATGCCTTCCTATCCAACAAACCGTTATTTATCTCCACAATTTCATTAGCAAGAATATGCATTGTCCTTCTGCCTTGTCTGGTGTTTGTGTAATTTGCACCTCTTAATTACCTACTCATACCAGCAGGAAATTGACCCTTGCAAGAGTATTACTGATGAAGATATCCGCACAACCATCCAGAATTCTGGCGGTCCAAAAGGGGCTATGTTTCTGCCCGAGGTTTGTCTTTCGCTAGATTATGTTTGGTATTTCTACTAACTTGTGTTCTTTTTACATAATGCTTGTATTTTCCTTTTTGAGTTTTAGGTACCATTCGAGATTCTTGTGCGAAAGCAGATAGGTCGCCTACTTGACCCAAGTCTTCAGTGTGCCCAATTTATCTATGATGAGTTAATCAAAGTATGTGTTCATAACTCTTGTATGCTTGTATCCTGTGAACCTTTAATTAAAATGTTTAGAATATCCTATTTGATGCAGATTAGCCATGGTTGCTTAATCTCTGAACTTCAGAAATTTCCAATTCTTAAAAAGCGGATGAGTGAAGTCGTTTGCAGTTTCTTGAGAGATGGTCTTCGACCTGCAGAAACAATGATAACCCACATCATCGAAATGGAGGCAAGTGTTTACTTTCCTATGTTCTGATCTTCCAATAGCATGTAGCTACTGGATTGCTCCCACAAAAATTGTCTTGTTTGTCCCCTCAGTACATTCTTCTGTCAGTAGGTAATCATTAACCATTGAATTCCTTTTGCATTCAAAATTATTTAGCATTGATCATTAAAATATTTTATTGCGTGCTATTGGATATCTGTATCCTTTTCGAGGTAGCAAGGTGGAGTCTGTTACCAGTTTTTCATAAATCTTGTCGAATCATAAAGAATCATTTTTTTCGAAGATCTTCATTTGCCACTTCGAAGACATAATCATATAAGTCAGATGTTTTACTAGCTTCCTAGTCATGTTTTTTTTTATTTGCTATTTTCTAGTGAAATTGCGTATACCTGCTAATATGGAACCCATTTGATTTAACCTGCCCTTGTGCTGTTCTGCGTGTACTTAATATCTGTATTGTTTATTTTTTTTATGTTTCTTTGAGTAGCGACAAGTCTGTGCACCTTTTTTTTATAGATGGATTATATAAATACTTCACACCCAAGCTTTGTTGGAGGCACCAAGGTCGTTGAACTTGCAAAGCATGAAGTTCTACCTCCCAAAACATCAGCTTCACTATCAGGTCGTAAGGTATTACATATTGGGCTTGTACCTTTGCAACCAAAATCTTGTACTTTGCCTTTTATTTTCTCCTGTACCTGAATGTCTGTTCTGCTCTGGTACAAAAGTTTTTAAGTTCATTATGGAGTGAAATACACTAGTGGCCCCTAAACTATTCCCATGGTCCATTCTGTCATCATGCTGCGGAGAGACGAGTTCGCGGCTTTGTCAATGGCAACTGTCAGCAATGGAGAGATAGGAAGAGAGATGACAATGTTGACATGCCACAGACAGTTTTACACATTGATTTGGGAGACCTGGACCTCAAGTAGCACATTGAGTTTGGGGGATCCAGATCTGGACTTTAATAGCTTATTTATGATAAAAATGCAATACTTTATTTTATATTTACAAAATTGCTCATATTTTTTTTGTTCAGTTTAATAATTCCATGATCACCCTGAAACCTATGTGGATTACTGTATTGATATGGTGTGAGCTGGCTGTTGGCCCCTGGGATCCCTGCACAGGTAAGCAGCAAGCTTACCAGCACACCCACACACACTCACTCGGCTGGATGTTGAAGAAGGGGTGAGAACAGCACACGCACACAACACAGCACAAGCACCAGCCCTGGCCGAAGCTCTGCTTCTGAGTGTGGCAACTGAACTAACTTCCATTGCCTTTTGGTGTAGTATATGTACATACTACAAGTACCATATAAGGTACAAAATGTGCTACTCCTGTGTCCTCTAGGACGTGGTTGGTAGAAGCCCACTATATGTACAAATTTGACTAGATGGCTTGCTGCCATTTTGCTACAGTACTAGTACAATCTTGTACTAGATGGCCTATTGCCATCCTTGCTACAGCACCAGCAAGTGGACAGCAGGTCTGACCAGCTGCTAATCCTAATCTGCAGCAAGCAAACAAAAGGGAGCAGCAAATTATCTTATACTGGGTAGGGGTCTGACCGTCTGAGGACCAAGTGTATGGCACTTACCCTCATCGTTGGCTCTGTCTGCGCCTTGGTAGACAGGCTTTAAGGCCTGTTAGAGAGGGAGGGAGGGGAAGGGGCTGGGGAAGAATATTAAAGGGCGTACCCAGTGCGGAGAGCTCCCGCTCTGTGCGGGGTCTGGGGAAAGGTGTTAGTGGCAAGCCTTACCCTCGCTTGTGCAATGCGAGGAGACTGCGACTCGAACCCAGGACCTTCCGGTCACAGGCGGTAAGACTCTACCGCTTGCATCAGGCCCGCCCTTCACTGTAGGCTGGGGAAGGATATTACTTATTCAAATCATTCATGTAATCTATTACTTATTTGGCATTGTCTTTTTTTACTCTGGGCTCAAAAGTATTGCTGGTTACCACTTCGCTTCCCTTCACTGTAGGATGGTACTATTGTTGGTTCTGAGATACAAAAAACAGCCGAAAGAAGCCAAAAGTCACGTGCTGTTTTCGCAAGAGATGCAACCAGAAGAGCAACATCTGAACAGGCTAGCAGAGTTTGAAATACTAGTTTTTTCTTGAAAGATTTTGTGTATGAAGGTATTTACAATTTCTTTTTTTCTGCTTGATTTCTTCGTCCATCCTGTTTCTGCTTGATTGGGATTGCAGGCTTCTATGGAAGCAGGTAAATTGCTCACCTGTGATTATGCTAATCACATGCTTCACCTGCATTCGTTTTTCTTTATGGATTGCAATGTTGTTTTGGGGTTGCATTTAATTGATTGTTTATTTTGTTGCACTAGACATGGCAGCTGTTTGAGCGTAGTGTTCTTTTCAAAGTAGTAGTGTTTGCTCGGGAGCCACTCTTGTGCTAATTTAGATGTAATGATATTTGTGGTCAACTCAATTGTAAGTACCTCATATTCTTTGAATAACAAAGCACTATGTTCACTTGTTTAGCACTCTATAAATGGGCCGAAACTGGATAGAGCTAATCTTGTGGATGTCCACATGGCAAAAATCAAGACCTACACATTACTGGAAATTTCTGAAGCTATTAACTAGAGAGTATGCATTCTACTTTTTTTTCCTGATTTTCATAGTGTCTGAAGGAAACAGCCAATTGCTAGTAAGTCATATTTCTTTACCAAGAAGTTGAAATTTCCATAGCCCCATGCTGGTCTAAAATGAGTTTCAATCAGTTACAGTGGTACCTGGAAGAAAAATGTGTTAACATCTACAACACCAAATAAATGCAGTATCAAGACATCCCATGATGGAGTTAATGAAACTAATTTGATGCTGTAGATGTTTGTGCATTTTTTTTCCAGAAACTTGTTCAATGTTAGAGAAATTTAACTTAGGACAAATTATATTTTTGGAATGAGTATGTTTCTATTCACAGTTACCATGCTATCTTCTTTTGTAGTTGCAAATTACAATGTATAAACTGGTTTGAGTGTTGCAGCCCAAGACTAAGAGTTTGACTTTTATTCTATTGTCTTCGTTTGGAAATATAGAAACAAGTCTGACTGGTGGTAGTCAGATAGGTAATTCACAGGTTGGTGGGAATTCATCAAGCAAATTACCCTCAATCATTCCTCTAAAAGAGGTAAAAGTTTACTGTCACAAGTGAGCGTAGGAAATTGGAACTCATCTAGTTTTAATACTCAATATCTGATTGTTCTCCATGTCTGTACTAGCCACCCATTACCTTGAAGCCATCAGAAACTGAGCAGGATGCAACAGAGGTAGCCATTGTGAAACTATTGATCAAATCCTACTATGACATTGTGAGAAAAAGTATTGAGGATGCAATCCCAAAGGCTGTAATGCACTTTCTGGTAAGTTTACCTTACACAGTTGCTGTGATATCAGTAAAGGCTACTTTGGTACTATGTACTTCCAACTTCCTCACGCAATAATTCTAGAGGGTTATGATATTTAATCTCCACCAAATGTCTGGATAAAGCTTTATTGCCTGACTTAGAAGCTACCCTACTTAGAGGATTTTGTTTTATGGTAGATGTATACTATTAGCACTCATAATTACTGTCTAATCAGGACACTGATGTTTGATAGCATTGTTTTTTGGCAGGTGAACCATACGAAGCGGGATCTGCACAACTTTTTAATTCGCAAACTATACAGGTGCATAAGTCAACATTTGGTTGTCTATTTTCTTATGGACAGTTCTCTTTAAGTGTTCTGATTATAATTGTTCTGAAACAATGATATGTTGTACAGAGAGAACCTGCTCAATGAATTGATGAGGGAAACTGACGAAGTACTTATCAGAAGGCAGCGTATTCAAGAAATGCTTGAAATTCTTAAACAGGCACATAGGGTATTTACAGTTTCTTAACTGTTTGTACTTTCATATTTCCTGCAGTTTTTGACAGCTTTGTTTTGTAGACACTTGAGGAACTCCCCTTTGAAGCTGATAAGATTGAGAAGGGCTACAGCCTTACTGAACATGCAACTGGCCTGTCAAAAATCCATGGAGTCAGCGGGGACAGCACAAATGGCATTTACACATCCTCCCCTAATTGCTAACCTCCACATCGAGCGTCTCATATGGTCCTGTAGAGCAGCATGCAGCAGTGGTATGTACCAGTCACCAATGGAGCTTGCCTTTCCTCACCAGTGGTATGTACCTGTTACCAATGGAGCTTGCCTTTCCGCACCAGTGGTATGTACCTGTTACCAATGGAGCTTGCCTTTCCGCAACAGTGGACCTTGATCCCAATTTCTGAGGTTTTTAAGCAATGAGCTTGAGAGTTACCTGTAAATTCCAATCTTGCTTGCAAGCAAACTGCTTTCTAGTAGAAAGCTATTTGCTGGTAGAGAACTTTAATTTTTTGTTGTCCAAATTGTCACAGTCCACATCAATGCAATAGTGGATAGGGGCAACAGGGTAGTTGTATAGGGCTATATCCAATATTCCAATTTGCCCTAGGTATCAATTTTGTCTCCAATGAGAATGGGAACATACTAGTGTAACTACGAGCGATTGAAGCAATCGCCAAGTTGAACTTCATTTATAAAATCTGGACAAAACTGATGCATCACGCATTCATGCTGGAGGGATTCATGCAACTATTGTCTGGCCACCCCATTTCTGAGGCACCATGAGTTTTGGTGTTATGGATTTTGGTTGAATAGGTTGGAAACATTCAGCGCCATGACAATTGCTTTCTTGGTTCTTATCAGTATTATGATTGAAAGCAAAACTATATCTTGTTTCAGTCATGCCATAATCATTTGACGATTTTGGGATAAAAGCCAAGGAGATTGAGGCGTACTATTTATTTGTTTGTTTTGTATATTGATGTACGATATTGTAGGCTAGACTGATCCCTATTGTTGGTCTCTGATCTTATAACTTCTGTTGTGTTTTGTGCATCATGTGAATTCCAGAATATCTTGGAACACGTGTGTGTGTGTGTGTGTGTGTGTGTGTGTGTGTGTGTGTGTGTGTGTGTGTGTGTGAGGGTTGTCTAGACATGATGTCATCTCGCTCAATGGGTTAAATTTTGTTAAGACCATCACCATTGCACATTGGTGAGGTACTGAGGTGACTAGATATAGGTCAAATCTAATCGGTTATCTCCACGTCTTTTTATTCTGCATGTTCCTACAATGACCACATCATTACATAGGTGCTTTGCTGATACAAGTCTGAAGTGTGCGAACAAATTTCCACTCTTTGATGGTTAGCATATATGTGGTGGAAATATTAGACGATTAGTGCCAAGAGTGCTTAGGCTTGTTTGACCATCAAATTGGTGTTTTGCTCTAGGCTTAAGCTTAATGTTTAGTAAGATTTGCATCTCTTGCCACTTCGAGCGTACCATTGTTATATACTAGGGACTTGTAATCTTATGAGATCATAATAATCGTGTGGTGTGACCGCCTAACTTGTACTGGAGGGATCGAGGTATGTGGTGTTAGCCAGGAGCTTGATAGTGAAGATGGCGGGGATTGGCTTGGGAGATTCCATCTTAGTGACCTCACTTGTGCTTGGGAAAGCTTAGATGCTATCCATGGAGTTACTCGATCGGGAGCTTGGTTCTTGTGAGAGGCTCCAATGAGGATCAGAGGAAGTTGATCTTTTTGATACCTTGGGAAAAATCGATCGACAATAGGAGTTTGTATTCTCTATCTCACTTGAGCTTCCACATCATTTGCATTCTTTTCGTTACCTTCCTTGTATAGCTTGCGAGGTTAGTTGATAGTATTAAAACCTAGGTCTCTTTTACGGTAGAATTAGGAAACACTTAGCAAAAAAATGTTACACATCTACATAGATATATTGTGTAGGTTTTTTATAAGTAGGTTTTAGTTGGCCAAGTAGTTTTTAAGCTGTCTAATTTAGCTTCTTTTAGACTTCACAGTCACTTCACAATATACCACTAGAATTTGAACATTAAAGGTGTGTTTGGTACGGCTTATTGCAGCTCCATCTTTTCCTACACATCATACTTAGCAACACTATTCATATGAGCTATTTTTCTCTCTTGGCAAAATAAACATGGAGCTGGGAAAAATCCATAATTTGTGGCTCCTCCAGCTTCTTTGGTACTGACTAGCGTGGAGCCAGAGCCTGAAGGAGCCTAGCCAAACTAGGCCTAAGTAAGGGCATACGAAGAAAGGATGCCATAGATCTTTCTCAATGGAGAGGTTGCAAAAAAACCCTCATCTCATCTTGCCATTCTCAAGTCAAGTCTTCACTTTGAATACCATCTTATTTCAATATACTTCACCAAGTATTATTCTTTAATCGAATGTCAATATGCACACTTTCTAGATCTATAGCCTTCCTTTTTGGTGGTCATATAAACTTTGATTCTGCAACTACCATATTTTTTTAGGTAATAGAATAAAGTTATAGCCTCTATCATCTGGGAATAGTACATAGTTGATAGTCACAGTACAAACAACAAACGTTATAAGGCTTACACACACAAGATGAAGTAAAAACAAGGTTCAGCCCAACTAGTGAGCGTAGCATACAAAGCAAAACACTTTTTTTATTTATACAAAGCAAAACACTAAGCCTCAATACCACTCGTGAAGTTTCAGCCAAACTTTCTGCCACTACCGTATAGACATGCTTTTTACAAATGAGACCATATATATGTATATGTTCATGTCTCTTTTTCTTTCAACTTATACATGCCTTTTTATCAATTTCTCACAGCTCGTAGGAATAATTTTTGGCTTATATCATTTGATCTTTACTGAACCACAAATATTCTTTAGGTGCTGTTTGGAAACGCAGTTTTATATAGACCAAAAACAGGTGTAAAATACAAGCAGTGGCGGACCCAGGATTTCAGAGTAGGGTATGCCCATGGCCAAGAAATCAAATTGAGGTCGCAGCAAAGGACTCGAGCAGTTGATGCCGCGTGGGCCGCGCCGTCGTCGAGCCCGAGCGTGCTGCGCCACCTGCGCGCGGGTCGCGTGGTCACGCCGAGCCCTAGGACGAACAACGAGTGGGAGGCGGGTCGGGTGGTCAGCGGCGAGCGGGCGGCGGTTTGGAGGCTAGCGGCTGGCGATGTTCCAGTGCAGGGCGTGGCGGCGGGCTGTGGCACCACGACGGCCGCAAGGGTGGGGCACGAGCGGACTAGCTGTGGCGCAGTGCGATTCCACGAAGAGGAATTAGGGAATTTTTCATCAAGAAAGAGGATGGGGATTGGGGAGTGGGAAGGGCAGATGGGCCATCCATTGGGCCGTCCGGTCGGGTGTGGCCTATGGACTTCTTTGTGTTTGGCACGAATCAAAGCCAAAATATAGCAAAGAATAGCAATTTGAGCCTTAACTATATAATACATGTATATACCTCTACAAACTACTAAATTTTTTCCAAAAATGTTAGGTATGCCTGGGAATACCTAGGCATAACTGTGGATCCGCCCATGAATACAAGTCCATTAATTTTCAATTTCGATTGAAAATAGCTGTTTGGATGAGTCGTAAAGAAATATTATTTATATATACCCGGCTTGGTCCAATCCAATCGGAGAATAAAAATCTACTCTAGAGACGACAAAAAAACAACAAATATCGGGCTCATCCTCTCGCAAGTCGCGAATATCGATTCTCTCACTTGGTGACTCATCAAAGGCGCTGGTGGTAGCACGGTGAGTCGGTGGCCTCGTCAGGAGACGGTAAAGCATGTTGATTGGACTAGCTGGTGACTTTGCTGCTGCCCTACTGCACGCAGCCGCCATCACCCTACGCGCCGCTGCCACCCGCAGCTGCCGTTGTGTTGCGCACTCACTATCATGCTAGATCCTCGTGCCGCCCAACTCGTCGCTGAAAAAACTGTGAGGAACAAGGAGGCAAACAAGCATCCGCTGGAAAAATTGTGAGGAACAAGGGGGCAGACAAGCATCTGCTTCATGAATTGGTGGGCATTCTTGCGGTCTTGGGCTACAGCTACAACACGACGTGTTGTTTTCTGTTCTTGTATTTTTGCTCGTCTTGTGTTCTTACATATTGCTTCATCAGACAAGCAGCCACTAGTGTATTGTTGTGAATACCCAAATAAAATTTTACAACTAATAGAAGACCATGATGACTCAGGTCCAAGAAGGTTTCGACCGGCTTCATAGGCTGATATGGTATTATGACTTAGCGCTGACATGGATCAGACATGTTCGGTCCTGTACGGACCGTGACGCCTAAGAGAGTAGTGCGCAAGTGGGTCTTTGAGATGGTTTCTCTTGAACCACTCTCCACGTCTTCACTGTCGAACTTCTGGCCAAAACACTGCGGGTTTCATTCTCTCCGGTACACGGTGACGCCCACACCACAAACGTGGTTGGTGTAGTCTCGCAAGACTACAAGCCCCTCCGATATACAACAATGGTGCACGCAAGCACCAATGCAAGTTGTAAGAGGTATATAAACCGTATTAAACACTAGACCTAAACCTAGAGCAAACGCATTAGTGGTGGTCTAACTAGTCTAAGCACTTCGTAAAACATCTACACTAATCACCTAATATTTTTCTAAGCACTTTTAGTGGCTAGAGCACAAATGGATGAGTCCCAACTCTGCACACACTTCCCTAAGCTCTAGCACTCCTTTCCTGGCTAAATGAAGAGGTATAAATAGCCCTGACTCCAAAACTAGCCATTACAACATTTTCGGTGAGCATCGGACTAATTTTGTGAGCATAGGACTAATAGGTATGTAGCATCGGAATAATAGGTGCCACTGTTCGTTTCAGTTAAGTGAGCATCAGACTGAAGGTGTGAGCTTCGGACTAATTAGCATCGGACTATATGCTACCCTATTTTTAGCATGACACACATTCATATTTTGGGCATAGCTTTTAAGTTCAAACTTCGATTTTGATGATCTTGGACTTTTTGAAAGGCTAGTGAAAAGCTCACAAGTTTAATTGAATTCTGAAAGTGCAATCAAACCCTAATTATGGGTTTTAGTGATAATGACCACGTAATTAGAGATCTAATGAAATTTATCGAGATGACAAGTAGGGAATTTATATTCGAGTATGCTACACGAAACGGAGGAACCACCAA